GGGGGGGGGGGGGGGGGGGGGGGGGGGGGCCAGACAGAGTCCACAGAAAGAAGTCTATGAACTTTGGTGGGGGAAAATTACATCTTTATCTTCCCAACTTTGGTCTCCTTTGTTATCCTATGGATTTGATTTCATGCCTCTAAAAACATTCTGAGAAGGGTTGGTGCATAGTGTTTCCCAGATTGCCAAAGGTAGAAGTGTGGGACCCATGACACAAAGGAAGTGAAGGCCTCCAGGCATGGAGGGAGACTAAGTCTCTATCGTCGTCTTCTTCTTCTTCTTCTTCTTCTTCTTCTTCTCTCTCTCTCTCTCTCTCTTTCTCTCCTCTCTCTCTCTCCCCCCTTTCTCTCTCTCTCCCCCCTCTTTCTCTCTCTCTCCCTCTCTCTCTCTCTCTCTCTCTCTCTCTCTCTCTGTCTCCTGCTTTTCTTTTATTCCCTCAGGCACCTGCTTAGCCTTAGGCCTGTTCCTGGCTCTCCCAGGCAGGGCTCCAAAGCTTGGCCTAATGCTGACCTTGGGCAAACATTAACTGAGTTTGATAAATGACCAGATTAGAACCCTCTTCCCCTTTCTTCCCTGACCTCCCAATGGGCAGCTTTAGCCTTATCTTCACTTCTCCCTCACCTTTTATTTTTGATAACATTCCTTAGAATGAGGAAACTTCCTTTCCCAATGCAGACCCCCTACTCAGAAACTTAGAGCAAGTGTTCTTACCCTGGGGTCCAGCCAGAGTGGGTTCATTGATATCTCCCCAGCGCTGACCACCACTCTTCTCTCTAACTACGCGCGGGCACTCACGCACGCACACAAACACACATACACAAACACACACACACACACACACACACACACACACACACACACACACCTTGCTTCCTGGAACAGGCTGGGGCCTCACAGCATAAAACCATATGTGGAAAGAGTTTTTTGGTGGAGTTTTAGGGGGGAGGGAGGTGTGTTTTGTAAGAGGACAATCAGTAAGTTAATCTCGTTCACAGCACAGCTTCCTGTGCGGCCCAGCTGCAGGGCAGCTGCCCCCAGGTGCCCTCCCAGCCCCAGCTTCCTTAATCTCTGTGAACCTAATCAAAGGGGTGCTCTCTCACTGAGAGGGCGTCATGTGATTTGGCCCAGACTCAGGACCTTTTTCCTTGGCCTGAGTGGGTGGGAGTGGGATAAGACTGAGAAGACAAATGAAAACTCCTTCCCAGTTTTTTCCATAGGCCAGTCAGGTCAGTAGAAAGGGGGTCAATGTAATGGTAAGTATCTATGGCCAGGGATGCAACTGAGGTTCAATTCCCTGATAGAGAATAACAGACTTTTTGACCAGTCAGTACAGGATGACGGAAAGAGCACTGGATTTAGAGTCAGATGACTTGCAGTTAGACCATAGCTCGTGTGGAAAAGATCGGGGGGTGGTACTGGACCACAAGCTTGTGGTCCACTACCATCCCCGGATCTTTTCCAGCAGACAATGTGCCTTGGGAGGTAGAAGGGCTAACAGAATGTTGGCTCCATTAAGAGGCCTAGTGTCCAGAATGAGGGAAATGACAGTCCCTGTGCCTGGGTCAGACCATATTGTGTTAGTGCTGAGGAGGACCTTGACAGACTGGAGCACATTGAGGGCAGGAGAGATGAATGCAGATTACGCCATATGAAGACTACATAAAGGAACTGGGGGATGTTGAGCCGGAGAAGGCAGGGGCTGGGTCTTCACTCTGGTTCATAGAATCACAGGAAGAGAGATTCAGAGCGAGTCGGAGGTTAGAGGTCATCCTGCAGATGAGGAAACCAAGGCCAGGAGTAGTCAGTAAGCACCTTGTAGGTAAGGATTGTTTATTCACTGTGTCACCTTGCTGCCATAGGAAGTGCTTAGCGCTGAATAATTGAGGGACTTGTTGGGGCCATGATTCGAACCCAGGTCTTCCTGACTCCAAGCCCAGTGTTCTCTCTACTAACGCTCACTGCTCAGGATGATCACTTACAGGACCCTCCATAGCCCCAGGAGTCCTATCATACAAGCCGGGAAGTCAGAGGCAAAGGTATTTCTCATGTCTATTCTTTCTTTACTGGCCCAGGGAATTGTTGCACTCTTTGGCTGACCCACTGTGAACCCCCGCTCCTCTTCATCACACTGTGCGTGGCTGGCCTATAAAATGAGTGGGAGTAGATGTCCCGCTCAGCCCATCATTGGAATCCTCTGAATTTCAGAAAAGAAAGTATCTGGGGCATGGGTTCTGAACCTGGTGGCTACAGACCCTCACTGAGGCTGAGGATAGCTTTCAGGGGATCCAGGAACTCAGAGGCAGAAAAAGCCACATCTTTCTTTCAATAAGATTGGTTTCCTTTCTACACCGAGGTATTTTATTTCATGCATTTAACACATGCGTTTGAAGAGGGTCCATGGGCTTCAGCAGACTGACTGCCCAAGGGTCCAGGACACAAAAAGGTTTAAGAAGCCCTGACCTAGTTAATGACCCTCATTCTAGAGCTCAGGAAGCGCTTAGTTCAATGTCACACAGGCAGGTGAGAGCCCAAGTGTCCTGGCTCCCAGGACAGCTCGCTGTCTGCTAAGTCCCATTTCCCCTCAAGCCAGGCTCCCCAAGAAACTCCAGGAATGCCCAGGCCAGGCGTCCTTTGCTCTTGGCAGGCAGCTCCCCAACATCCGGGGGTGCTCCAGGCTGCCAGATCCCACACGGAGGCTGAGTCAATCCTAGCTCAAGGCCACACAGGCCAAGCCCAGCTCTCGCCTCCACCTCTGTAGGTCTGCCCCAGCCCCTCTTACCTCCCTGGCTGATGCCAAGGCAAGGAGCTACCCAGGGCTCAGAGAGCCACAGTTAAAGAGATTAACTTCTCTTTGAAAGTAAACATTCTTCTCATAAAAGGTAATGGTATGACAGCCCTGGAGACAGAGCTCTTCTGTTTACCCACCCCATCACACAGGCACCCATCACCCGCCCCACTCGGGAACAGTGCCTTGGCGGATATCAAAGGGGCCCATCCCGGGGGGTGATGTCCTGCCCAACGCCATGCCCACCTTGGACCAAATCTGTGAGCAGCGCCATGGCTGAGGTAGGCCTGGGCTGCCCCAAGAGCCACTGAGGCACGTGCTAGGGTAAACTAGAACGTTCTACACTTATGCCTACCCCTGCCTCGGCGGTCAGTGCCTAGAACATGGTAGGCACTTAGTAAATACATACTGATGAATAATTATTAATAGTGTTAACAACAACAGCAATAATAAATGTTGATTAACAATAACAAATAAATGGTCAATTGGCCATTCTGAGAAATCATAAGTTTCAGAGCCTGAAGACGCAGACCTTTGAAAACATCTAGTCCATGCCATGCCTGAATAAGAATCCATGCTAATACTAACATTAATAACATTAACATGATGCTTCAAGGTGGCAAACAGAGCACTTTATGTCTGTCAGCTCCTTTAATCCTTCTACCCAGCAAGCCAGCTTGTGCCCAACACCCTTCTGTGAGGGGGAGCTCACATCCTGCCAAGACAAAGTCCAATCCCCTCATCGGACAAACGAGGCCTCTGAGTCTCTGGCTGAGGTCAAAGGGGCTGTCATTTCATCTCAGTCTTAGTTTCCTCATCTGCCAAATGGGGACAAAAACAATATTCCTTTTGTAAAGCTTGCCTTGCTCGTGTGACCCTGGGTAAGTCATTGAAGTTCTCCACGCCTTACTTCCTCCTTTGTAAAATGAGGCTGACCCCTGGAATTCCCTGCAGCTCTGTCTGTGCTCCTCTGATCCTATTGCATAAATATCTGGGCTACTGTTAGGGAAGAGGTGTTGCTAATGATGCATAGTCTAGCTAAGAAGTCCCATTAACTTAGTAACTAGGGGCAGCTAGGTGGACTGGCCCTGGAGTCAGGAGGACCTGAGTTCAAATCCAGCCTCAGACACTTGACACTTACTAGCTGTGTGACCCTGGGCAAGTCACTCAACACCACTGCCTAGCAAAAAAACAAAAACAAAACAAAACAAAATAAAAACTTAGTAACCAGGCTGGGACCCCCGATTTCCCTCCCAAAGAGCTTCAGCTGGCACGTAGGGACTCGTTGGCTGAATGACTGAATGTGCCAGGTGGTCACATCCCTTGGACTCACCAGGGTCCTGACCCTTTCTTCTGCCCATCCCAGAAATAGAAACCACAAGGAAAATGTCACTTAAAATAATATCTGGAGGCAGCAGAAGGAGCTTTCTCTGGTAGGAGAGTCAGAGGTCCTGAGTTCAAAAGCCACCTCTGGCCCATTCAACCAATAGGATCTTGGGCAGGCAATTTTACTTCCCTGGGCCTTGATTTCCTCATTTGTAAAATGGGGG